ACCGAGTAACGAGAACACCAAGCAAAAGCCCCCCAAATGTGCCTTTTAGGCCACAGAGAGGACACTTATGTACAATATAGAGCTAAAACGAAGACAGAGTGCGCTCCTGTTCAGCCTCAGCTGGGCAGGGCCACATCAGGCGAGTCACCAGCCATTATCTACGAGTGGCCACATCACGTGAGTGTTGGCTAGAGGTTCCAAACACACTTGAGCAAGTCTGTGAATTATCAGTGAGACTCGGAGAACTATTAGGATTGCCTGTTGAACATGAAAAAGAAGGAGCGGTGATAAGTTTAATTGGGAAGTGGAGCTGGTGGGTCATAGCCCTGGCTCCCATCACTGGATGTGGGAGCTTGCTCTATGAGAAACTCCTGCTCGCCCCACAAATGCCCACGGTTTGGAGAGTGACTTCAGGCGAGCAGTGCAAGCCCCAGGTAAGATGGCACAGTTTGGCACGTGCACAGAACTGATGAAGAGCCGCTGTAGACTTTGCCGGTGGGTATTGATCAGTCTGTCTAATCCAGGACAGACGATAGATCAATAAATGCTTTTAAAACCAAAAACAAAAACAAAAACAAAAAAAAAACAACAAGTGGAAGCTCTTCAAGAAGGAAGCCTGAAATGTGGGTGAGGCCAGGAGTGTCCCCAGGGCCCACGACTGCTCCAGGGGTCCTCTTGGCATCTGTCTGCACATCCCATTCCCACCATGTCAACAGGCCTGTGACTGAGGACCTAGAGGGCAGACAAGGACAGGACCAAACTCTGCCTCTCAAAGCACCGGGGCTTGGTCCACTCCTCTGGCTCCAGCTACTTATGAGAAAAGATGATGACGCCTTCACTTGAGATTGGAAGTCTTAATGGATCCATTCTGGCCTCTTCCATAGACAGTGTTAAAATCCTGGGAATGAGCTGCGCCATATGCATTTTTAAGATGGTAGCCAAGCAGAGAAAGGTTGGTAAGTCTTCACACAGCTCCCTTGAGTTGATGCCTCATGGGAAACATTTTTTGTCTCCCTTTGTTATACTCTTATCTACTTTCTCAGTTTGTACAATGTGCACATGTACTTTGCTAAATGAGGCGCAGGAATCTGGCCATCCTGCTGGGTTACCCTAGGGCCAAAGGGCAAGGAACCACAGGGTTTTACATCTGAGGGCTCATTGACTCTCACTCAGAGGACAGTTCATGGCAGCTGCCAGCTTCCAGACTCACCTGTGACCCAGGTGTCAGACAGGGCGTGATCCAGAGCACCATCCTGGCCCCAGGTGGGCACTCTAGAAGTCTTAATGAAATCAGACCTTAAGGCTCAATTTTAACAGGCATCCCCCAAAAGGGTTGGGGAGGATAACTATCACCATTCAGTGAGTCATTATTAAGTGATGAAATGCACCGGTCCCAGGTAGGGGTGGTTGAACATCCTTAGAAATGGCTTAACATTGAGGATTTGGGGAATGGTCCATTTTACGTCTTCATGAACATTGATTGCTCCGTCATGATGTGGTCTGGGTCATGATGCTGGCTCTGGACACTGTGGTACCAGAGTCTTGTGAGAGGAGGAATCTGAAGAGTGACACATGGGTGTGTCTCCTGGGATTATGGGTGAAAACCAGGCTACCATCTTGAGCAGCATGTTACTGCATCACATCCCACCAGAGTCACCACAACTTACAGCACAGAGGACCCTATGGCTGTCCTAGAGATGGCTCTCCAGGGCGCACTGGTGTGCGCGGGGCCAGGCTTCTCCATGACATGGCAGGGTAGCCTTCAGACCCTGCTGGCACTCACTTGCTGCCTGGCCCATGCTGGGCACAGTGGATGCAGAGATGACCAGAATGAGGCCCCTCCCTTCACGAGGTTTGCAGGCAGACCAGCACCACGCCTGCTGGAACCACTGAATCCTTAGGTATCAGAGGGCCAGCCAGGCTGCCAGACACAGCAAGGAGCTGGGGTACAACCAAGCACCCTGTGGGTTCTTATCAGCACAGGGAACAAGGGCTCCTAAGTCTTACTCTTGGGACTGGAGTAGGATTTGACCAAAGTCTACATCCTTCCTCTGTAGGAGAAATAATAACACCAGAAATAAAAGTAACAACAGCAGAGGTTGTGGGGACAGCGAAGGCCCAGAGCAGACCCAGGTGTCAGGAGCCATGCCAACTGCTTTCCAGGAAGACCTCATGGAATCTTCCAGCAAGGCTGGGAGGTGTAGAGGGTGGGCTGTCTCATGGAATGATATGACCTCCATGCTAGGAGGTGTTGATTCTGCTATTTTCCTCACTAGACACTGAAACCATGTCTCAGAGGGATTCTTGAATTAGCCTAAGAGCATGTTGCTATCCTGAGGCCTTAAACGCAGCCGTCTAGCCCCCAGGGCAGGTCATTAGCTGCTTGGTTGCCCTGGCCCCAGGGAAGGAACAGTCCTCATTAGCAGAGCCACTGATCCCAAGCCTGAGGACAGGCTCTCTTGGAAATGAGTGCTTACATATTATACTCTTCAAGAAGAAATCCTAGAGGTAGGGGAGACTGTCCAAAGAGGGAAGGAATTTGGAGAAGAGCAAACTGACCAACTGCTCTTTTGACAAATCTTATCCTAAATAACAACAGGAAAGCATTTTCCTCTTTTCAAACGTTGTTTCCCTGTGATGTGCATCGCCTGGGGTGAGCCTTGGCCATACAGTAGCTTTCTGCACCTCCAGCTCTTGCCTTCCAGAGGTGTTGGTCCACTGTGTTCTAAGACCTGATTGCTGCCTTCCTTCCCTTTGGGGTAGCTGTGAGGGAGACTCTGTCTCTAAGGGCCTCAGCAAAGGGGATCACACAGATCCAGACTTGAAATTGCAGCTCCCTGGTCTGAGAAATGTTCTTGGGATGTTGGTTGCCAACCCCAGCACTCTTGACAGCTTAAACGCCTTGTCACTTGGAGAGGAGAATTTGAGATGTCAGAGGACTTTCGCCAAATCCCCGGGAGATTAAGGCTGTCTGTGTATTGAAGCAGGAAAAGGTAAACAAAGGGATGTTTTCAACTGATTTTATCTGACACATCTACATTGTCTAGGATTAAGGACATTCTGAGTGTGTGCAATCTCAGAAGCGACCTTGACCTTGAATGTTCATGCTTCACAGCTGTCACATCATCATAAGGCCTTGGACCCCTGAAGCCTGCCTTGTGCTGCACAGCACCTGTGCCTTCATTCCCTTCTCCAGCCCTCCTGGGGTGGACAGTATGCCCCAGACCCCACAGCTCCTGCCCCTAGCTGGGTGCCAATGGCAGGGAGCTGGGGGGTGCAGGCCACAAGAGCCACCTAGATGTACCACAGAGCAGAATGCCTCATCACCCGGCTCTGCTTGTGCTCACCTGGGACAGGTGAGCTTCTGTGAGACTCAGCATTGTAGAAAACGTCTACCCCGTTATCCTCCTCTCAGCTCACCTTAGGTGGTGGCTTTTCTCTGTCCCTCTTGGTGTGCTGCTTCCCCCTGCCCAGGAGCTTGCCCCGGGACAGTCCCCATAAAAGGATCTGGAGGGAATCAGGGCCCCTCTGATCTGTCTGCCTTCCTGACAAGGAAGAAGGTGGGAAAGAAGAAAATATGGAATGTAAGGAAAGGATGGCCCTTGGAGGGGAAGGCAGGAAGCAAGAAGGAAAGAGAGGACAATCGGTGAAAGACTGGCCAGATGCTTGGTGCCACTGTCACTGAGGGTCACCGTATCACACACTGGTACTTCCTGGTGCAGGTACAGGGCCCACTTCCCCTGTGGGAGTGTACATGAACATAGACATGTGAATACACAAACACGTGCACACACACACACACACACAGTGTATCTATTAACATTGCCGTCCCAGAGACAAGCCACACAACAGGTGGCTTGTCTTGACCTTCTGTGCTTGGAATGGAGTTCTGCCAGCACACTGTCGGTATAAGGAAAGAAAACAGTTACCTCTGGTCAAGTTCAACCAAGCTGCATTGTTTACAAAACTGCAGTTCCCATAAATTCAAACCCAGAGTGAAATCCCCGTTTCTATTATGCTGATGTGGTGTGGATAGGTGCCCCTGATCAGCACGACACAGACCCGGTGAGGCAGAGAGGAGGGTGCGAAGGGCATATTGGGTGCGAATGTGAAGAAATAATAGGATGAGAACAGAAAGGAGCCACCTAAGATAAAAGCAAAAATCCAGAAAGGCAGCTTTGAGGATGCTCTGGAACTCTGGTTGAGAACAAGAGATGAGAAATACAATGTTCAACACACAGCCACCTGCCACCTTCTACCTGAGAGGCAATTACTGGGTTCTCTGGACAAGGCATAAAATAGGAAATGACATTGGTATTGTTTTCCACCAAAGAAGGTTATGTTAACAGTTGTTAAAGACCTGAAGAGTCGGGCGTGGTGGCGCTCACCTGTAATCCCAGCAGCTTTAGGAGGCTGAGGCAGGAGTATCTCGAGTTCAAAGCCAGCCTCAGCCACTTATAGAGGTCCTCAGCAACTTAGCGAGGCCCTGTCTCAAAATAAAATATAAAAAAAAGATTGAGGATGTGGCTCAGTGGCTAAGTGTCTCTGGTTTCAATCCCCAGTACCAGGAAAAAAAAAAAAAAAAAGACAGGAAAACAATAGTGTGTCTATAGCATCCAAACAAATCAGGAATCAGGGAGTGCACGCTGGTCCCAATGATAGCATCCTACTGAAAAAAAATTGTGTCTATTTATGTGTGTATTTTTATCTCCTTCCAGGAAAGATTCCCTAGGAGGAAGTTAGCTTTAAAATCCACATTGACCTTAGAAGGGCAGTTGTATTTAATTTTTTTGTGGCTCACACTGGAGGAACATAATCTCTTTGATTCATCTTTAGAAAGAAAATGAAGTCCCCCTTAAGAAAAGTGTCAGTCCCACCCATGTGCTCCCAGACCTCCTGCCCCTGGCCCTGCCACCTTGCCAGTGCCATACGGTGGGAGAAGCCAAAGGTGGAGCTGCAGAGGGAGTGGGCGGCCTGCTAACCTGTGCCTCTACCCACAGAAAAGAGTCTGCCAACAGGTCCCGGAGCTGACGGGCAGCCCACGCCACCCTGGATCACCATGGCCCGGCAGAAGCGGCGAGGGCTCCCAGACCAGCCCCTCACCCAGGAAGACAAGCCTGGGGTGCAGATCCTGAAACCAGAAACAGGAAAGCAGACCAAGGCATCCGACAGAGCCCAGGTGCTGAGAGCGAGCGCCTTCTGTTTCTGTGCACTCAGTGGGGAGCAGCTGGGGCTGGGACCGCACATCCTACATGGGCATCCCAGAGACAGGCGGTCACCTGTGATGATTGCCAACATGTGGTCGAGGGTCAGCAAAGCAAAACCAATGATGTGCCAGATTGTAGCCTCCGTGGTGGAGCAGTCTGCCTGCTCTGTGCTTGGGCTGGGCTGTTGGGAATGTGGGGAGGCATGTGAATCACTAGGCAGCGGAGACAGCGCTCTGCTCCTGCCTCCTAGGCAACACAGCTCAGCATCTGGAGAAATGGAAAGGAGGTTAAAATAACTTCTCGCTTAGGCACCCAGCAGCAGTGTCAGCATCTCCGGTTCAGTTCTTTGTGTGGTGATGACAAGGCTGCACGTGCTGCCCGTGGGGCCTCCCTATTCTCACCTGGGGCTGCAGGTCTGGAACCCTGGGTTTACTCTCCCTATTGTGGCTGTGTGAGGAAGGAGCCGAGCTTGCTGCAGGACCTCCTTCCCTTCAAACCTCAGTTGTCCTGGATCTGTGTGCAGGCTGAGGGAATTTATAAAAGAAATTAACCAGCCTGGAGCGCGTGGGTTCATACCGAGTGTTGTAAAAGTCACACGACTATTTTCAAACCCAGTTTGTGTTGCGTTTGGCATGGAACCCTGCCATGCAGCATCTGGGCCTGCGGCTGCATATTTGGGACAGGGAAGATGCCACGATGCACATGCAGGCTGGGGTCACTCTGGGCACTAGCGGGAGCTCCAGCGTTCTGATGCTGGACATCAGAGAGTTGTCAAGAGCCAGTGGCACAGCGCATCTCTGGAGAGACGCCTCGCAGCTCACTCCCTTGGGCTGTGTTTGTCCCTCTCTGAGTCCATTCAGCTGGACAGTATGTCCCTTTCTTGTCTCACCCTAGGAACCCGTGAAGCAAGCCGACTTTGTCCGCAGCAAGTCTTTCCTGATGACCCCTGCTAAGCCCACTGTGACCCAGAGGCAGGGGGCAAAGCTCAGTCTCAAGGAGGGTCTGCAACGAGGAATCTCGCTGTCTCATCAGAACTTGGGTATGAGATCCGCACACGTTCCTGAACACGGTCATTGTCATCCTAGAGGGCTCCTGAAGTTTGGGCCTGCCCTGTCGAATTTCTTGCCATGTTGAGTTTTTTTCATGCAGCTCTTATCAAGATGTAATACCCACTCCAGGAAGCTTGCCCATTCCTGGGGTGCCATTCAGTGAGGATATCTTTATAGTGGGCCACCCTCACAGAAATCCAGAAATCCCTCACGTTCTAAAGAAAGCTCATGTCTGTTTGCAGCCTCTCTCCACTCACTGATCTTTTCTTTTTTTTTTGGTCTCCATAGATTTTCCTTTGGGGAACATTTCTTATAAAACAGAATCATAAAAGATGTGCCCCTTTACACCTACCTTCTTTCATGGGGCATAGTGCTTTTGAGTTTCATCTCTGTTATAGGGATCCATATTCTTTTTTTTTTTTTTTCATGGTGCTAGAGGTTGAACCCAGGGCCTTGTGCATCCAAACACACACTGCACCACTGAGCCACACCTCAGCCCCAGTATTTCTTAAATTTTATTTCTTTGCAATAAAAGTTGTATAACCAAGAGCTGTGTGCAGTGACACACGGCTGTAATCCCAGCTGCTCGGGAGGCCGAAGCAAGAGGATAGAGAATTCAAGGCCAGCCTCAGCAACTTAGTGAGGCCCTAAGCAACTCAGCGAGACCCTGCCTTTAAAAAAATACTTTTAAAAGAGTTGGGGATGTGGCTTAGTGGTTAAGTGCCTCTGGGTTCAATCCCTGGTACCAAAGAGGGGGGGAAAAAATGAAGTCATAACCACAAGAAATTTACCTTCCTAACTATCTTTGAGGGGCCAATTCAATGGCGTGTGTACCATGTCATGTGTGCAGCCTCCTCCATCTTTCCTACAGTCTTGCTCTAAACATTTTTCTGGCTTTGCTGTGTGGCCAGGACTGTTTAAATCTGCTTCTAAGCCTTTTTATCGCATAAATTACATGTTCTACGCCTGCACCGTCTTCACACGTTTACGTATTAATGAATTTCGTGTTTGGGAACACAGCGAAGACTTTGGCATGTATTTAAGGAAATGCAAAAGGCTGAAATGAAAACTCACACTCCCCTCTCGGGTTTCTGTTTATTTTTTCTCCTTTCCAGCGGCTCAGTCTGCGGTGATGATGGAGAAGGAGTTGCATCAGCTGAAGAGAGCCAGTTATGCTAGTGCAGATCAGCCTTCCTGGATGGAACTTGCCAGAAAGAAATCTCAAGCATGGAGCGACATGCCCCAAATCATAAAATAGATCAGTGGCGTGCCGATGGCAAACGTCCACTACCTTGACAGGCCACCTAGTTTAAAACTGCCGATAAATTGTGGTCAACAGACTGTGAAACTCTAGATTGATTTTATCACCACGTCTTGACGATCCCGGGGAAGGGGAAGAAGCCAGGCTCAACAAAGAGGACAAACACACAGCCATAATCCCAGGCCGGAGGGGCCCCCAACAAGAACAACATGGAAGAAGTCCAGGAACCAGCTCCTGTGCCCAGAGGTATGAATGCGAGCCTTTTAGAACTCCCTTAGTAAAGAGGCCTCAGACACGGCAAGCCCAGGACAGAAGCCATCCCAGGAGCCGGTGTGACACCTCCCCTGAGACCAGCCGTGTCTCCGGCCACCGTCTCGCCTGTGGACTGTCTTCTCCTTCTGTGTCACCACCAGGCATGACATGTATGGTAAAACAGGGACGCCATTTCCAAGAGCAGCTATAAAACAACCTGATTTTGTGAAGATAGCCCGTCTGAGAAGGAGAGAAAGGGACATAGCAGGGTTCACGATTCATAGACTGTTTCCAAAAAGTGAATTTTTAAACTTTTCCACTAGGCATCTGTGTCCTTGACCATTGCACAATTCATTGCCTGTTTAATAAAAGGTTTCAAAGACGCCTCTGTCGCATATAGGAATGTTATTTCTACTCCCAGGGGACATCCTCCAACACGGAGTTAAATGCAACACAAGGTCTCTCCCTTCCTCCATTTAGCTTCCCAACTGGGTTGGTTGGGGAATTTGATGTTTTTTGAATTTGTTCTCAGCACCCCCCCCCAACAAAAATTATGGTGTTCATTTTTAGAAGCTAGAAGATGACATAAGCTTTTCTCTTCTCATCTCTGTGGCACACCACAGTAAAATGTAAAAATTTCTTGAGAAGTTATCATTCATTAGCATCTGATTCCTCTAACCTGCACATTTCTATTAGAAACTGGATTATCAGTATGTTAGAGATTAGGAACCATGAATGTACAACGTGGAAAAGCCAGGCAGAATCTTAGAATTGTGTCTTGGTGGTTATATAATACCTCTTTTCTTTGTTTTTTTGAATGGAATATCACTATGTTGCCCTGGCTGGCCTCAAACCCCTGCCTCAAGTGAATTTCATTTTTACTCAGTCTCCCGAGTAGCTGGAACTACAGGCAAATGCCACTGTACCTGACTCTTTTTGAAAACAGTTCCAACAAGTTCCTTTGAACAAGCCAATCTCCTTGGGAATTTGTACAGCTGGAATCAGAATTGTAAGATGCCATGACATATTGTAATTTGATTTTATGTATCTTAAGGGCTACTACCTTTATTGTATCCTTCATCTTCATGAAAATTATTTTTCTAGCTGTTACTACTACATGACTTCATTGAGTCTAACTTTAGTGAAAAAGTCCCGGGACAGTTTTTTTTTCCCCCAATCAGATTGATTTATTAATTGCATTCTCTTAGAGGACATCAATACTGAATTCTGTGGTGAATAGGCTCCACACAAGAGCTCCATCTAGCTAGCTTTGCTCCAAAAGCTTAGCATGAATATTTTTAAAAATATTTTTAGTTGTAGATGGACACAATACCTGCATCTTATTTATTTATTTTTATGTGGTGCTGAGGATCGAACCCAGTGCCTCACACGTGCTAGGCAAATGCTCTACCACTGAGCTACAACCCCAGTCCTTAACATGAATATTTTTAACTGGAAAAAACAAATGAAAATCATGTTGGTTATGATTACCCCAAACTATCATTTCTCCTGTTAGCAGAACATTTCAGATAAGCCATTTTGAGGCAATAGACTTCACTGTAAGATCGAAAGTATTTGGTTCCGTTTTGTTCAGACCAGAAGTTCCTACCCTCTGTGTGTTCCAGGATGTGGTTTAATTTTTCAGGTGCCTGGTGACTTAGAAGGGTGCAGCTTTTTAGGACCCTAGGAGAATTCACGGGGGGTGGTCTGCAGCTGCTACCACCCTCTGCATGGAGGTAGACATCCTTCTGCAGTAACAAGAGGGGCTAAGACAGGAGCCAAGTCTTGGGGATGACTGGAAGTCTGAAGAGGCATCAGAGATGGTAAAGACCTGCTAGGACTTACCAGCCTTGGTTTTCCTAAGAAGAAAGATGAGCCAGGCACTGCTCTGGGTGCTTCATGGGTCCTCTTCAGAACCCTTTCACAATCCTTCATGGATCAACACTCACCTCCACATTGGAGCTGAGAAAACCAGGCACATTGAGGTTCAGGTCATGGTCCAAGATCCCACAGCAGGCAAGCCCCTGGAAAGTGAGGCTAGGCCCCACGCTTCCCAACTCTGCCCTCAAGGGATGTCCCTATCTCTGAAAAGCGCTGGGTGCCAAGGCAGATCTGTGTCCTCAAAGACAGTATAGACAGGGGAGCTCTAACTTTGACCTTGAGGGCTCCTTTGTCCAGGGCACCAGCGTGAACCTCATGTTGTCTGCCTGGTTGATCACCTTCACCCTCATCCTCCGTTTCCTCAGAAGAGCTGGGGAAAGTGCACGGGGTTTTCTGTTTCGTGCGTTTTTAATCACAAGCACCTTCCTGGACTATGTGGCACTTGCTTCCAAAATTCATTCCTCCATTTCATGTAGTTCATAGCTGTGTGGAGGCAATCTGCGGGGGTCCAGGGACATCCCCCAACTAATAGGTTAATCCTGTGGCACACCCATGTCATTTGGCAGGGGACACAATGAATAAACATTCAGTATAAAAGAATCAACAGGGCTGGGGTTGTGGCTCAGCGGTAGAGTGCTTGCCTAGCACAAGCGATGCCCTGTGTTCGATCCTCAGCACCACATAAAAATAAATAAGTAAACTAAAGGTCCTGTGTCCAACTACAACTAAAAAAAAGTATTTTTTTTTAATCAGCAAAAAGCAGAAGTATGTGAAATAATGAGCCTAAAACAAAGGTACTTGTTAGTGCAGAACACCTCCTCGAGACTGGGAGGTCAGGAAAGGGTCTGCAGAGGAGGTGGCCTGATTATAACATCAATGGTGGCTTCCTGGCTGGGTGGAGGTGGAAGGAAGCAGATGGATTCAAAACATATTTTAAAGGCATTATAGCTGGGTGCACGCCTATAATCCCAGCAGCTCAGGGAGCTGAGACAGGAGGATTGCAAGTTCAAGGCCAGCCTCAGCAACTTAGTGAGGCCCTAAGCACCTTAGTGAGACCCTGTCTCAAAATAAAAAACTAAGCTGGGGATGTGGCTCAGCAGTAGAGCGCTCGCTAGCACATGCGAGGTGCTGGGTTTGATCCTCAGCACCACATAAAAATAAATAAATAAAATAAAGGAATTGTGTCCAACTACAACTAAATATAAATAAATAAAAGGGCTGGGATGAGAGCATGTAGATTTTGGCCCCAGCTCCTGGGTAAGCGAGGCTATGACTTACTAAAATAGCAAAAGAGAATGAAATCCATAGGAAGGAGTCCATCTCAAATTGAGAATCCTATTAAGCATCTGACTGGAAATACCAAGTAGGCAGATCCAGTTACCAAACTGAGAATTATCATTATTTAGATGGGATAGAAATTCAGGGTCTGGAAGAGGAAGAAGAGGGTACCAGGACTGCCTGACCCTAGGCTGTCCAGCATAGGTGGTCTAGAGAGAGGGTCCACAGGAAGGATCTATGAAGCAAGAGAAAGAGCAGGTAAGTGCCAGCAAGAGGAGGTCTGGGGGGAAAGGGAGTAGGTGGTTGTAGGTTGGGGTTTGCTGAGACGGGATCAGCCAGACTAGAACAAGTGTGGCGTGGACTCTAGGCATTCAGAAATCGTGACCTTGGCAAGAGCCCTTGGGGCAGAGTACAGGTAAAATAGACAGAAGCTGCAAATCAGCTGAAACTGACTTCCAAGAAATTTTATGTGACCAAGAAATTTTATGTGACAAAGGGGAATGAAGGGAAGGGAGAGGGGACGGGAGCAGGAAAGACAGAATGAATCAGACAGAACTTTCCCATGTGCATATATGAACACAACCAGGGTAACTCCACCTCATGTTCGGCCACAAGAATGGGATCCTAATTAGAATAAGTTATGCTCCAAGTGTGTATAATATGCCTAAATATACTCCACTGTCATGTATACATAAAAAGAACAAATAAAATAAAATGGCTAGGGCTGGGGCTGTAGTTTAGTGGTAAAGCACTTGCCTCGCACGTGTGAGGCACCGGGTTTGATCCTTGGCACCACATAAAAATAAATGAAGATACTGTGTGTTCATCTACAACTAAAATATATATATATATATATATATATATATATATATATATATATATATATATATATTTAAATTTTTTCCAAAAATGTTGCAATAAAAAAAGGAGATTTTGTGTGAATGAGAACAGAAGTGATGGGAGTCACTGTTGGGCTCTGGCCCACAGAGTTTTGTTTATTTGTTAGAAGGAACAAAATACTGTGGACCACAGAGAGGATTTATATGTAGGTGGGAATAAACTCACGGCAGAGAAGAGAAATAATCTGAGGTTGGTCTTTGCAAGCACAGGTCACCCTCCAGAGATTCAGACCAGGGTGAAAAGCCCTCACTATAGACTTCTCTCCTTGCTCCTGGAATCAGGAGCCCGGACATTTTGATCCAGCTGACAAGGGATGACCCACTGCGATGACAACCTGATGATTTGCTTTCCCAGCCTGACAATTTGGCGTGAGTAATAGTGCTGAAGAAAAAATATATATTTTTTTCTAATTACTTAGACACAATAGTAGAATGCATTTTGACCCCTCATATATAAATTGAGTATAACTTCTCATTTGTCTGGTTGTACATGATGTAAGTTACACAGGTCGTGTAATCATATGTGCACATAGGGTGATAATGTCTGATTCATTCTACTTCATTCCTACCCCCACTCCCCTCCCTTCACTCCCCCCTGTCTAGTCCAGATTACCTCTATTCTTCCCCCTCCCCCTTATTGTGAATTAGCATCTGCATATCAGAGAAAACATTGGGCCTTTGGTGCTTTAGGATTGGCTTATTTCACTTAGCATGATAGTCTCCAGTTCCATCCATTTACCATCAAATGCCATAACTTCAGTCTTTTCTAAGGCTGAGTAACATTCCATTGTGCATAGATACCACATTATCTTTATTCATTCATCTGTTGAGGGGCGTCTAGGTTGGTTCCACAGTCTAGCTATTGTGAATTGAGCTGCTATGAACATTGATGTGGCTGTGTCCCTGTAGTATGCTGATTTTAAGGACTTTGGGTACAGACCGAGGAGTGGGATGACTGGGTCACGTGGTAGTTCCAGTGCTAAGTTTTCATACCAGGGAGAATGGTAAGGGGACTATGGAGCTCTGTGCGGCCCATGACACACTTACTGGGTGTAAGGTCTGTCCCCCAGTGTTCCCCTTTCACCTTGAAGATTTATGTAAAATCCACTTAGATGGCAGCAGATCCTATGCTTGGGAAGATCCAGAGTTTTCCCCATGATTCCTGGGCCTTCCTTTCCCACAGCCCTCTTTGCACCTGAGAGCTGTGTGTCCTTGACTGTGACTCTCTTTCCCCAGAATATGGGCCCTTCCACGTCAGCGGAATTCTGTGCCCAAATGGCCTTCTTTGTCTTTGTCAAACCTATGAAACATTTGGGTGTGGAGTCACCAGGAAGAGGCC